ACAATATCAACCTGACCCGTCCCATGTTTTAGAGTACGAACCAATCCCGATCAGAGAAGACCTAACATATGTTGAACGACCAATTGGGATAATAGACAGGAGAGTGCAAGTTTTGCGTTGTAAAAAAATTCCCCTGATCCGGGTATTATGGCCATATCACACAAGAGAATAATCAACATGGGAACAGGAGGATGAAATTAGGGAGAAATGCCCCCACCTCTTTGATTAATGATTTTGGGCATAAAAACCATTTTTTAAGGGGGATGATGATGTAAGGGCCACAATTCAATTGAGCCTGATCACTCGCGGCAGTAGAAAGAAGGAAGTCGAAAGAGACGAAAGCGCACACCCAATGCTAAAGGTGAAAGATAGCGTCATCCATAAGTTTTGGCCTATTGTCATACATATAACATGGAGGCAATGCCGCGTGCAAATGAGGGCATTGTTGCAAGTACAAGGGTTAGCGCTATGTGCAGGCCAAACTAACGTCGCACACGATTGTAGGCATTGCCATGAGCGTAAGGAACAACGCCATGCACGGCATGAGGTAGCGTTGTCACGCATGCATCTTGGCCAAGCTCCTAAGGGCAAAGGCCCAACCATGGGATGAGAAGGCAACTGTGCCTTTATTGGGGCAATATGTGAATAGACATGACTGTGTTAACATTCACAATCACCTGTTGTAATGCCTGGTAAGCGACTTGCCCTGCCCATTGATGAAACATTGATCCATTTTGTTTATGCATCAACATTGATCCATTTTGTTAAAATTCAGGACACATTTGAATCTCTCCCCTTTGGCTTCATAGAAGACTGTTTCAATTTTGACACATAAACCCTTGCTACAGTCAACCACGACAAAGGCACCATCTCATATGAAGGGTTGTCATAACCTCTTAGCAAAAGCCCACGTGCACTGGCAAATCAATCAAATTGATGAGATATTTATTTCCACATCTTTCCCTCTTTAAACTCCTAAGAACGCATTGGACATTTCATAGTAGAGAGAGACCCCAAGCAATTTGATGGTTACATGCTGTGACTCATCTTGTCAGATATTTGTCATCTACGCATCTGCTATTTCGTGAGATGGGACAATGACAGCAAGCCACATGACAGTCTGTAAAAGAAGGTTTACCTGAGAGGGAACATATTAACCACCATCAAGACATGGTAAAATAAATGCACATCTAATATAAAAATGGAAAACTATACTCACAATCTATCATAAAAAATGCATGTAAACCACCAACATTTATGGCAGAAAAAGAAAAACAAACCCGCCAGTATAAATAAAAAGAAAATTAATCTCACATTTATTACAAAATAAAAAAATAAACCAAACACCTTTTTCATTTGAAGGCATATGTGGAAGTTGAAGCATCCCATGCTTGATGTGGCGAATGATGGAAACATTTCTTATGTTACACTTCAGATCTATGATCCTATGTGGTTCCTGTGTGGTGAAGTTCACCTGTAGTAAACAGAATACTTGCACTAGTATTTGAATGAAACAAGAAAAGGCTCAAAGAGTACTAATGAGTGAAAGATACCAAACATTTGACTAATCTCAAAGATCACCAGACAAAAGAATAAGATTCAGTTCCCACAATATCATCATCCGAACCTTATCTCAACTATTTGGTTCGGTTACACGAATCAGATTCAGGATTCATGAAAAGATGTGGCACAGTTTTATGTTAGTTGCCTACCTAACACAACTCTCCTCCTTTACAGAGGCTTGGGACTGGCATGACCAGCATGGGGCCAATCAAGGCAGAGTCAGTTCCCGCAATGTGTACAAGGAAATTTAGTTGAAATAGAGATGGTTGAACACTAAACCTGCCCCAGTACCTTACTGAAGCTATACGTTACAGCAAGGAATCAAACAACCAAAAAGATGTCCAAATTCAGAAAAAATGGGAAAAAAATACAGGTAAAGCTGATTTAAATTTGCACAGTAAAAAAATTAGTTTTTTTTTTCCTCTTTTTCTATTTCAGATTGGTGTCACAGAAATTTTAACTCCAAAAGGCACATGGAAACAACTATAGTGAGAGAAATGCAACCATATCAGCATAACAAGGAGAGCCATGTAACCGTACCTCCAGAGAATTGTGTCAGAAAAGATGTACTATCAAGTTCATCTTAGTGCCAGAAGCATATTTGTTTAAAAGTTGCGGTCATGGGCCTCTTGGCCATAGTTAGCAACTTGCCTAATGGTATATAAATATGTGGGCAACAATATCAATATTAGTTTGATTTTGGGCCGAAAAATGGAGGAAGAAAATGGGCCACAGAGTACCAAGAAAAACATTGAGAAAGATGCGGTAACTTTGGATTTGCCTCAAACAATCGAACTTTAAAAACAGGCATAAATGTGTATGTCTTTTGGTGAATTTGTCTGGTAGAATAGTAAAAACAATGAATTAGAAGTACAACAAGGGAAATTTTCAATTCATAAAGTAACTAATCAAATACTAGATCATCACTAAGACCATGCCATTTTTAGCTAGTAAAACTCATCCCACGAACTAAAATTGAATGAGCTAAAATAGTTGACTATGAATACCAAGTTCTAATACAGGGCTTTAGAAGATCAAATATAAAAAATAAAGGGAGAAAGAGAGGACAAGACGAGGACGGGGGGAGGTCGAGATAAGATTTCTATTTTATATACAATTCTGATGAAAATAATGTGATTATGTATAATTCCGATGAAATAGCATACAGAAAATGAGAGAGAGAGAGAGAAATAAATGAGAATTTTTAAAAAAAGCATACGTAATTTTAAGAAGAGTTTTAGAAGTTCTTTTGCATAGATACATAATATAGATATTTCTTTTAAAGAAAATGTTAACTGTATTATATTAAGTAAAAGGGCAGTACAAGTTACAAAAAATGCTGACCGCACCAGGGGAGCGATCTTATGCCACCAAGAAGGTGGCCGAAGCAAAAAAATGCCATTCAAGCATGGGGTTACACCAAAAAGACAAAAGGAATAAACTTCTAGGAAATTGCTTGGGAAGCACCCTCTTTAACCAGAACGTCGGCCACCTGATTGGCCTTGTGCCAAGTATATCTCCAGAAGACCTGTGTACGCCTGCAAATGTCAAAGATTTCATCAAATACTACTGGAAGTCTTCAGGGTGGGGTTGCCTCACAAGTCTCCCATGAGAGAACATTTCAAGTGTCACCCTCAACAACCAAGGATTGTGCTCCAAGAGGGATTGAAATGTTTTAGGCCCTCCAAAACCGCCGTAATGGAGTCCGCTAGGCCTAATAGGAGAGGTATAGGAGAAAAAAGTATCGCATCCATGATTCCAAAAGACACCCTCAATGCCTGCAATACCTAGGTTCACAACGAGGACCCGTCAAAATTGAGTTTGATTTGACCTATTCCAGGGGTCTCCAAAGGAATGCACAGGGGACATGTCAGGGCTGAAGAATAATGGAAGGCCAGATGAGAAGATCTGTGGAAGAAAGGAGCTTGAAGTGGTTGTGGTTAGTGGCCCAGAAGAGCACCATGGACCTGACTTTTTCTTTCAAGGTGTGCCAATGGGAAATTTGGCCCTGGAAGATTCTTTGGTTGCGTTCTCTCCAGATTGTTATAATATAGATAATTTTTTTTTCAAAAAAAAAAAAAATCTTTTCTTTAATATATTCTAAAAATCACAATTTTAAAATGTTTCTTAATAATGGGGTCTGAAAATGCCATTTCATAAATGGAGTATTGGCAACTAAGGTCATGAACACACACTTTGCCATGACCTGAACATACCGTAACTGACCATTTACAAATTTTTGGGACCCTATGTATGCTCGTTCCACCAAGTAAATAATAACATGATATTGAGCATCATGATATGGGAATATGTATGGATATATGCATTTCATCTGGTCATATTTTGTGACTGTAGTAAATGCCCCATAAGGAACATAGAAAATTTAAAGTACACCTAACTGCTTGTGCAAGTTTTCTCTGTTCCAGCAATCTCATCTTTTTTCTGTACCAGCCATCTCGTGCAAGTTTTCTCTGTACCAGCCATCTCATCTTTAACAGCCAGTACTTACAGTTTTGCCAAGATTTCTTTCTGCCTGAGTCCCATATAAAAGCACCTAAACAGAAATTAAAGACCTAAGCCTAAGCCCTCGAGGCATCCTCAGAAATAATACTTCCAGTAGCAAACTAAATATGGGATGCACTCTCTGAGGCACCACACTGCACAACCTTATAAGGGTGAAATCCAACCAAGAGTTGAACAACTTCATTAAGAAACCTTATTATGTATTCCACAACCATAGTGCATATCGAGGGTACAGGTTTGCCCTTTCACAAACCTCTTGAACTGTTTAATACCCCTTGATGACATTACTCTCCTGAGAATTGCGGTCGTGTAAAGACCGGCCCCAAATATCTCACCAAGGCAACCCTCCAGATTAAAAAGTCATAAACTCAAACTCCACATAATCATAAGCTAATTTAAGGCCTATCTTAAAAACAACCAGCAACCCATTATTATGCAAGCTCAAATCTGCTGCAACACAATACAAACATAACATCTTCTCAAATACCACATCTGAAAGTAGATACATGTATAAAGGTTTTGTATCATCAGATACATTGTATCGTTGAATCTCCCACTCATGGAAGAATGTGAGGTAATCAATATATCATGTCCTTAACCTCCTAGGAGGCAAAAATGACCACCAGCCTCTTTACCACATTTGGAATGGGAAATGTGAGGATCACAATCGATCTATCATGTCCATTGTCTTCTTGGTGGCTGAAAAGCCCAATGGTCCTCTTTACCAACTAGTTCAGATAAAGTTGCGTCAATGGAATCCTAGCAACGAAATAATATCTTTTCAAATACCACTTCTGAAATATGGAGACATGTCCAAAGGTTTCATTGTATTCTTGAATGTCGTCCTCCGGTGCACATTTTGGAATGTGGAAGAATGTAAGGAATGCGAGACAAAACATGGTTAACAGCCTAGGTTTTTTTTTTTTGGGAGAAAGTTAACCTTAAATTAATAATAAGGAAATACTGCAAACCAAAAGTATAGGCTATCCACAGGGCGGAAGCTCTATATACAGAAACCCCTTCCTAAGGGGGGATGAGAAAGTACAATAAAAAAGCCATCCTTTTGTTACAATGAAGTTGTAACAAAGCAACCAACAAAACGAAGCCGATCCCAAAAAGTGCTACGGGAAATGCTGGGTAGCTGCCTCCTTAGCAAGGGTGTCTGCTTCAATGCTGGGTGGCCACCTCCTTTGCGAGGGTGTCTGCTTCCTAGTTTGATTCCAGCCAAGCGTGCTTCCATAACACGTGCATATCCCTGCAAAAGTGGTTAATTTCATCAAAAATATGAGCCAAGACCCAAGAATGGGGAGGAAGAGTTTGAACCCAGGCAATAACATTCTTGGAATCTCCCTCAATGGTAACAAAAACTATCCTATGGATTTGAATAAGCTTGAGCCCCTCGAGTAGAGCCTTCACATCGGCTTCCGTAGAGTCGGAAAGACCAATGAATTTGGAGATGAAGGCAATAGTTGAACTGAGGTGGTCCCTGAGTAAGGCACCTACCCACAGTACCGAGGTCACCCAAAGAGTAGCCATCGAAATTAAGCTTGAATTGGCCAATTTGACGCTCAAGGTGGGCACTTTCGATTAAAATGAAGGATTGTAGCCCAATCCTAATAAAAGGCAGAAGGAGGAACCCCTTTGCAGCTTTTGTGGTTGGTTGGTCAAAACACAACCAGAAGTACTGAACCATGAGGAGTGCTCCCCCCGGAAAATCCTATTATTGCACTCTATCCAAATTGCCCAAAGAGAGTCATCGAGGACTTCCATAAAAGAATACCTACCTTAGGCTAGGAAAGGTCGAAGGGCGTTTAAGATAAAGAATAGTGGCTGGTACAATCCACTGACAATCGAAGAGGCGAAGAATTTCACCCCAAATTGTGAAAGCGAAAGGCCAGTGCAAAAATAGGTGGGTATTGGTTCCTCGTCTGCATACAAAGGGCGCATAGATTTGGTTAAAGGGATTCCTCATCTTTGTAACTGGTCGACTGTGAGCACCCTCTGGGAGAGGGATAGCCACGTGAAGACCTGAATTTTTGGAGGGGCAAAAGAGGGTCCAAATGATGTGATCAGTTCCTTGGGTAGCAATAAAACAAGTATGAAGGGCGGAAGCAACATCAGTGAAGTGGATAATCTCAGAGTCACTTAGCGCTCTTCTAAAGACTGGGTTCCAAGAACGAGAGGACCCAGCCACAGTCATTTCGTCTACCACCGTTGATCCCTGTGAGCGAGCAAGCAAGTACAGGTCCGGGTACCTTTCCATTAATGGTTCTTGGCCGAACCAAATGTCTTCCCAAAAAAAGAATCCGGCCCCCAAGTTTAGGGTGAAAATGAATACATTTTTTGAACAATTGAAACGATGAGCACATAGATTTCCAAATCCCAGAAGATCTATTATTGTTTCTGCAGTCAAGTAACCACGGAGTAAAAGAAATGAGATATTTGTGCCTGAGGATATCGATCTATAACTGATCACTTTGAGTAGCCAAGCGCCACTACCACTTTCCGTATTATGTTTCCTCAAAATCCTGATCCCTAAACCCCCGAGCCTTTTAGGTCGACAAAGTGTTTCCCAAGAGATAAGGTAAAATTTCTGGTTCACTGCTTCTCCTGACCAAAAGAATTTGTGGAATAACTGTTCGAGCCGAGAGCTCACCGCCACCGGAATATGAAAAATAGACATCTGGTAGACAGGTATGTTCGCCAAGGTGGCTTTAATAAGAGTTAACCTTCCTACCGATGATAGGAAACGACCCTTCCAGCCCACTACTTTTTGGTCCAACTTGTCAATGATATGCGACCACGAGCTCTTCTTTGGTTTTCCAATGCAGAGGGGTATGCCGAGATAGTTGGAAGGGAGAGGTTCAGCCTCAAAACCCCAACTATCCGCAAACTCCTTAAGTGTAGGAAAATCAACCGCTATCCCCATCAACTTAGACTTATAGAATTGACTTTGAAGCTGCAGCAAATTTGAAGCATCTAAGGAACAAGAAAAGATTGCTGATTTCTTCAGGTGAAGCATTGAAAAAGACCAGGGTATCGTCCGCATATTGGAGATGGGAGACGGTGGGGCCCTGGTTTCCCCAAGAGAAGCCATTCATACTACCAGCTGCGAACATCCAGGAAATGGACTAGCTAAAAACTTCTATTGAGATGGTGGTTAACAGCCTAGTTACCACACATAATGTGGAAAACATGAGAACTACAATCAATCTATGCCCTTAGTCTTCTTCTAGGAGGCCAAATAGGCCAATGGCCGTCTTTACCAAAAAGCTAAGAAAACGTCTCACCAGTGGAATGCCAGAATGAAAGCAATGTCATGACAAATGACTCCAGTTATGTCGCAAATGAATGAAAAAAGAAAAAACAGATAATTCTTAACCTAAAGTATTCCATCTAACAGGACTATGATCCACATTTCTTATAGCCAATTTCCCATCAATGTTTAAAAAAGGCACCAGCCTTGCTGCCTAGGTGGTCCGACTAGTCTAATAGAGGTCATCTCCTCATGCATTAAGGAAAAGGTGGGGTACCAAGGAGGTGGAGACTAGTCACCCGACTAGGCGGCTAAGAAGCCGACTAGTGGCTACCTTCAGGTGGGTTCGTAGGCACTGCCTTTTAAACTCGCGCGACCAGGCAGCAAAAACCCTCAGTGGAGGGTAAAAAACATAATTTCCCCCCTCGTTATGTTTTGGGGGGCATTTCAAACCCCCAAAACGTATTTTGTTTGAGTTATAGAGAGAAAAACACCCAAAAATGAATTTTTTGTGATTTTTTGAAGATCCAAAATTTTCTCAAAGTTTTCAATTTCTTGCGAAATCGAAAAGCAATCAGCCCCATACTTTTTGTGGGTCGATTTGGTTAGAATAGAAGACTTTTGGCCCTCATGGGGCATTGATTCGAGCCAAGATCTTGTTCATATAAAAAAGGTTCATATATTTCGATCTTTTTGGTTTATGGTTTATGTGATATTTACGAATATTTGCTTTAGTGGTCTTTTGTCCCTTCTCTTTGGTTTTTTTTTCCTTGTAAATTACTTCAAGAATTTCAAGTTTCGGATTGTATGCATGTTTTGTAGGCTTGATTGAAAAAGGACCAAATGACCAATAATGTGTATTTCTTTTTTTGCATGGATTTTTTTTCTTGTACCTTTATTTTGAATTTATGTTTGGAGTGGTGAAGCCAAATTCCATAATGGGTTATTGTTTGTGTTTAATGGCATTTTAGTGAGATGGGGCAACCCAATCTTATTGAAATCTCTGAAACTTAATCAAAATTGTTTATTTGATTATTTCTATTTAATTTCTTGATTGCTTTCTTGTTCTTGTATTTTTTTTATTTTTGAAGATAATGTTTGGATTTGTGCCCCATAATCCATTGAGGGCTTTTCTTTGTGCTTAGTAGCAATTTTACCAAGATTGGGTAAGCCAATCTTATCAAAATGTCCAAAACAGTGAAACTTAATTGAAATTGTTTATTTCTATTTAATTTTCTTGTTTGGTTTCTTATTCTTGTATTTTTTTTTTTTTGAAGATAGTGTTTGGATTTGTGCCTCATAATCCATAGAGGACTTTTCCTTGTGCTTAGTGGAATTTTAGTAAGATTGGGTAAGCCAATCTTATTAAATCTCTGAAACAGTGAAACTTAATTGAAATTGTTTGCTTATATTTAATTTTCTTGTTTGGTTTCTTGCTCTTGTACTTTTTTAAAAAGTTAATTCTATTGTAAATGGACTTTCAATTTGTTTTCACCTTTCAAGTTTTGATTATGTGAAGATGTCTTCTTCTAGTTCTAGCAAACAAACTGATCCAGGGTGGAAATATGGCATGGGCCCTAATCCCAATGATAAAAATTGTGCAGAGTGCAAATTTTGTAAGGAAAAATACAATGGCAGCATAGAATGAAGAAACATTTAGCCGGTATGAGAGGGCATGTGGCCCCAGGTACCCAAGTCCCTGTAGATGTTAGGAACGAGATGCTGGATTATCAAGAAGGGGTTGGAAACAAGAAGAAAGCAGCAAAGGAAAAACTCGAAGATATCACTAGGTCAGTTGAAATTTGGGGATATAGAGTGGATGATGAAGTAGCTCAAGAATGGGGCGCTCTTAATACACCAATGAATATTGGGCAGAGAAGACCTAAAGCAAGGGGGCCTATGGATACTTATTTTCGACCCCCTGCTCCGGAGGATGCAATTCGCAAAAAGGGGCAGACAGCTATTGAAAACAGTTACAAAAAAGAACAAAAAGAAAAGGGTGATCAATATGTTGCAAGATGGGTTTATCAAGGTGGCATCTCATTCAATGCCACTAGTTCGCAGAGCTTCCAGATCATGATGGAAGCAGTGGGACAATATGGCCCAGGATATAAAGTGCCATCATAATATCAACTCAAAGAGCCCTCTTAAAAGAGAAGTGGACCTCACTAATGAATATTTCAAGACTCATAAGGACACATATGGTAGATATGGGGTTATTATAATGACTGACTCATGGACCGATAGAAGGCCCATGAGCATTATGAAGTTGTTGGTAAATTGTCCAATGGGAACAATGCTTCTAAGGCCCATGGATGCGTCGGACAAGATACATGATGTAGATTTCATTCTTGGTTTGGTAGAAAAATCCATCGAGGAAATGGGAGAGAGCCATGTAGTTCAGATGGTTACAACCATGGCTTCAGCCAACATGGTAGCAGGTAGAACGTTGGAGGCCAATAAGTCACACATCTTTTGGACACCATGCGCAGCTTGTGGCAAAAAGCAAGAAAACGTTCGTGGCCAGTCGTATAAAGAAAGCAAGGGCCATCAACATATTCATATACAATACAACGACACCTATGTGTTGGCTATGATGAGGAAGTTCAATGAAAATAGGAAATTGGTGAGGCCTGGAGTTACAAGACTTGCCACCTATTTGTGTTTGCTTTCTATTATGGCGCAAAAGCGTAAGCTTAGGGAGATGTTTGTATCTCAAGAATGGGTTCAATGCAAGTGGGCAAATACAAGTGTTGGGAAGATGGTGGCCGATCTAGTTTTAGCACCATCCTTATGGAATGGGGTTACTAGTGGCCTTTGAACCTTTAGTTAAGATTATGCGCTTTGTTGATAGTGAGAAGAAGCCAGCAGCGAGTCATATATACCAGGCATTAGAGGTTGTGAAGAAGGAGATTACGAAAAAATTTGATTACTATAAAAGATATACTCTCCAATTTTGAAGATAGTTGAAGATAAATGGGACAGCCAATTAGAGAGGCCCATTCACCTAGCAGGGTATTATTTTAATCCTGCTTATTTCTATGAAAACCCAAATATTGATGCTCAGGGACGCTTTATGTCAGCAATCAACAAGTGTTTAATGAAACTCATCCCTAGTATAGAAGAACAAGACCGAATGTCAAGAGATTTAAATAAGGATAGATTATCACTTGGGACACTTGGTAGGCAGATGAAGACGCTCTTTGCTAGTAAGTTTCCATTTTGTCTTTTGATGGTGAATTTGTTATTTGAGTACTTTGTTAGTTTGTTCTAGTAGTCTAGGTAAACCTTATGATACCTATTTATATAGATTTCTATTCTCTTTTTATTTTTAAGGTTCATGGTGGACCAACTATGGTCAAAGCGCTAGGCACTTCAAGAAGATGGCCATGCGCATTTTGAGCTTGACATGCACCCCCATCTGGTTGGGAGTGCAACTTTAGTTCTTTTGAGATGGTAATCTCTTTCTCCACTAAATTAATATTTTAAATATTTTCAAAATCTTTGATAATTTCATTGATCATTGATTCATTATATTTGACGTAACATATTCATACGAAGAAGAGAAACAGGCTTGAACAGAAAAGATTGAATGACCTCGTCGTCATTCAATATAATCAAGCTCAAGGAACGTTACCTAGAAAGGGATAGCAATGACCCCATTGTTATCAGTGAGATGGATGATACATCTGAGAGGTTGGTCGATGCCGGAGGTGATCCCATATTCAAAGCATAAGTCTTGACTTAGACCCAAGTACGGCAGGCAACTGGAAGTCAATTAAGCCCTACGAGGGCCACAAGATCTCAATCTCACTGAATGGGAAATAAAAGAGTGACGGAGGAGGAGTCAAATTCACAGGAGACAGGGGAAGAGGAAGAATATATAGGGCAGGGAGACAACTCTGATGATGACAGCATGGCGTCAACATCATCAGATGGTGGCCTTGGTGGTGGTCGTGGTGGACATGGTGGTCCTAGCGCACATCGAGACATTGTTGGTACTGATAATGAAACTCAATTACCAAACTGAGTTCATCATCACATATTTACATGATCACATCTGATGCAATGTTGGGACTTGGGACTTGGGAGTATGGAGTTGGGACTTCTTTTTTAAGTGTTCTTTGTTTCACTTGGCTGTGATGAACTAGTATTGTGGAATCATGATTTTGGGTAATATGTATTACTATTGGGCATCTTTTCAATGGCAATTTTATATTTGATAATTGATATTTAATATATCAATATATGTATGAAATATGGTGAATCAGCAACTTAGACAATCTGTTTTACTAATATTTCTAAAAAACTACAGTTTTGGAGACAATTTAGAGGCAACCAAAAACCCCTCTTAATAGACCCCCTGGGGACTAGACCCCTAAGTTTCCTAGAAGGCTGCCTTGCCACCTAGACGGCCAGCACCCTTGGCCTACTAGGCGCCCACATCCGCTATTTTTAAAATTGTTTCCCATAATAGGTTTACAAACTTTCTACCATGAGGATTTTTTTTACTTACAACCAAAAAATTGTTAGTATAGAAATAGAGCATTTGGATAATTGAAATATAGAGGAATGACATATTTAAACACCACAGAAGCTAATTAGCCTAAAAAGTAAATTAAATTAATTCAAGGGAATAATATTGCTTCAAGAACTTGATATTACATAGTGAAAGTAATTCAATGACGAAGAATTCCACAGCACAAAAAAGAAAACAAAATTAGTTCATGACATTACGACATGTAGATAATGAAACAGTTTGGATGCCAGCTTTGAAATGACAAATTGAAAAGTTCAAATTAAAATACCTTACAGTGCACTTTGGATTCATTCCAGTGATCTTATGTTTGAATTCGCAGAAAAATAAAAGATGCAGATATATCGTGATAAGAATAAAACAAAAATAATAAATATTATGGACAATCAAGGACATATCTTTTACAAGGTACGGAACTAGTTTGACCAATGTTAATCAAACTCTGATTGTGATGTAGACCTTACGCCCCATGAATTTATCGTTGAGCTTTTTAATATGTCAATGGGTTGTTTTAGCTTTTTAATATTTTTATTATTGGGTTGTTCTTAAGACGCTCAAGGGCCAAACAAACCTTTGTGGCATGACAGGCCAGGCTCCCACGTCGGTATTCTAACCTCATGGTCAAATGATGGGTTTGATGGCACACCACACCACGGTGACCAGTTTCTCAGTCCATGGTGTGTTTAGAACTAGGGAACACTGGAAAACAAACGAGACAAACACATGCTCACCCTAGGGACACACTGCGACTACCATGAGGATGCATAAGGACATAAGGCGATAGGTCATTTTCTGTCTCAAGAAATAGTTTTGGCATGTCACAATTATCAGGCGCATTCCAGAATTTCTTTTAGCTCTAAGTTTATTAAGGTTGTCATAAAATCCAGAATACTGGGAGTTCCCATACTCGCCATTTTCCTTTTCCAAAGTTTGCTCTTCATGACAGTGTTCGCTGAATGAACCAATCAATGTCATATAAAATAAAAGCTTTTTGTAATTTTGTGGCCCCATTGATGACAGGCCCCAATATAGACGCATAGAAATGATACAAAAATAAGTTATGAAAAGAAAAGTATGAGCAAATAAAACTGAAGGAAATTGAAAAAATAAAAATGAACATTCGCCAGCTCTGAGCCCTTAAAAGAATCCAAAGAAATTGCTAATATTACAAAAATATTAGGAGAATAATCACAGAATCATATCCAAGGAGATATTGCTAATATCACGAATATCACAGAAAAAGATCCAAAGATAGCATTGACTATACGGATAGATGCAAGATTTATTGCCGTTGGAAGTCAGCATTGCCACTGGTCAACTCATTGTTCAAAAAGACCTCTTAAGCTTTCACATATAACACCAATAGCATAGGGCTAATTACAGTGTTAAAAAACTCAGCCCTACCAGAACCAAGTAACTTGGGCAAGTCCTAGTGGTGGACTCGTCTAAGTCCTTCAAAAGCGTATAAAGGGGTCACAAAATTGCCAAAAAGAAAAAAAATTCTAAAATTTGTTCAAAATCAATAAAAAACAAAAGAAGTTATAAACATCATTTAAAGTCCATAAAAGATTTAAAAAGTATATAGTCGATGGATTATGAAAAAAATTGATTTATATCTTGAAACAATTTAGAAAAATCCAAAAAAAGGAAAATAGAAAATTACAGCATTTAATAAGAAAAAATCACGAATCATCATAAAAACATAAAAATTAGGTAGAAACATATTTATGTACCATTTAGTAACGAAGTGTTCTATTTCTTAAACAAACCCAAGTTTGACTAAGACACTTACCTCGACAGGGTACCGAGACCAAGTCTGAGTCAATCCAGCCAAGTTTTGAACCATTGGCTAATTATGATGAGAATAAACAATCACCCATGAATTAGGTCAGATCAAGTGTAAGCCAACTAGGGATGTGATTAATTTTATTTTCTGCAACTGTATGATAGATTTATACTCTTCTAGAGTTGAATAATCAATACTCAAAGCAAATTTAAGGTATAATTCATGACAGCCGGTATTGATGCTAGCTTCCTTCTATGTATTCCCTTGATCATGAAGGTAAAACATTGTCAATTGAAGCAAAAGTACTTCAAATTACGAACTTCAGGAACCTTTTTATCAATGCAAACAATAAGATGTAGATTACAAAAAGAAGTACATATTATTATAGTACAATTTTCTTTTTGAAAATCAAAATAGGAGTTAAATAGGGGAATCGTACTCTTTGTAGCCAAAAAAATCTAAAACAGATCATTACCAGAGAGTCATACAGTGTAGATTACAGAAAGCAAGTAGACGCCAAGAACACAAGGAGAAGCAAGAAGAAGATGAAGCAGAGTCATTGAAAACAAAAGTTGGCAAAAGATTCAAGGCTCAGATCAATCAGAAGAGAATTCACAATCTCCTCTGCGAAAATTCCATGTAACAAACGGAAATAGTAGACACAATATTACTATAAAATAAATAAATTTCAAAGAATGACAGAGAGGCATGCCTAGGGCATAGGCAAGAACCCAAAATAGACCAGGATCCCAACCCATAGACCAAATAAATTTCCAAAACGCAAATCTATCAAAAAGAGAAAACAGTAAAAACAAACAATGCTTAAAACAAAATCAATAAACTTTAGTGCTCAAAACAAAATCAATAAACTTTAGCAGAGATGTATTCATCCATTAGAGATTCAATTTTGATACATCAACAAATAATTGAAATGTCAATTTCATAATTCTACAAATCAGTGAAATGCCAAATTGATAATTCACCTCGCGGTCAAAAAACATGTTACAAATAATTGAAATGTCAATTTCATAATTCTATAAATCAGTGAAATGCCAAATTGATAATTCACCTCCTGGTCGCAAAACATGTTGCATGTCCAAAAATAATCACTTGCCCCTAAAAAAGGTGTCACACTAACTCCTATCAATCATTCACCCAAATTTCATTACTGGAAATCGAAAGCAAAAAATATAACCAGTCCTGAAACTATATCGCTCCATGGACCATATAAGACGTAAAGAGGAACTTTTAATTCAATTATCAAGACCCATTACAGTCAAAGACCAAGTGAGAAACTAAAAGAACTAAAAACTATAGAGAAAAGTTGACAATAAACTAGAGAGAAAAGTTGACAATGTACAAATCGATGGATGATTTGTGCTCCTAATAATGAGCATTGAAATGTTGTAGGATTTACTGTACTGCGAACTTACATATTGATTTCTGCGCAAATGATTACATAAATCATCGCACATCTTTAAAATTAATTGGGATGACAACAAATACATTTCGTGTTTTAATAAGGAATCCTCAACCCACCTGCCAGCTTCACACCTCCTCTTTCTTAAGATCATCAAGAAGCTTTTGCAGCTCTTGCAACCTGGTCGCCCAGTCGCTCTTGATGACAATGGGCCGCACATCTTGGTCATCGACCAAATCCTCGTTGCTCATCGTCTTCTTCCTATCTCTTCTACGAGGGCTCGTACTGACTGGTTTCTTGGCAGAGGAAGCCTTGTGCAAAGCCAGCAAAACATCCAACCCACTTAGATGTGGCTCCTGCGGTGCCTTCTTCTTCTCTTTCTCCACTCCATAGCCTCCTCGTGGCATTTGTGCATCTTCGCCGCTGTACGATTTCTTGGGGGGAAGCTTCTTCGGAATGGGTTGTGATTGGATAGAGGTGAGAAGAGCACGACCTAAGCCACCTATGCTGCTGCTCACATTTGAATCGTCTGGTGGTGTTGAAGAGGAGGAGCGTGCGCGTTTGTTGGCCGATGATATTATTAGGGTTTGGGATTTGTGAAGGTTGGGCGAGAGTATTATTAGGATTTGAGGAGAAGAGGGGAGTATAGCCATAGCCATGGCCGCGTCCAAACCCCCAACTGCTGGCTCTGTATCTCACTCTCTGTGCTTGCGATTCCAGACTTTTTTTCTCTGTTTTTTTAATTTTTTTGGGTAATTTATTGGGGAAAACAAGGCTCTACCCGATGTTTCAATAGATCAGGGAGTTTTTCTTTACCCGTTTTTCAATTAATCATGGAGAGGCAATGTACCCGGACGCACGACACAAGTCCGTGTATAGGGCCAAGTATGGACCCACAAGTAGGGTCCGGGTCCGAGTCCGAGTCCAATAAAGGATATCCGGATAGTCCCAAGTTCAAGGTCCTATTAGATCCGATCCGACGGGTACCCGAACCCGAACCCGATATTTAAGCTTAGCCAAAGGCCAAAGCCCTATCCTAAAATCATTTTCAATCCTTTTCTTCTTCCTTTAGTTCCCCAAATAGCCAAACCCCGTCGCCATCCTCCCCCTTTGCAATTATTCCTCTCTGAATTTTTCTGGATCTCGAATATCTCTCTCTAATCTTCAAAAGTAAATTCTATGTTGTTCACCATTGTAGGCTACAAAAAAAACCACTCATAGTGAGGTGGCAATGGACCCAGGACCCGACGTACGGGTATGGATCCAACTTTTGGACTCAATGGGTCAGGGTACGGGTCCAAAACTTGGACCCAAATATATTCAGGTATGGGTTTACATTTTGAAGAGGTGTTAAATTGGGGGTGTCCAAATACATTTAGGTCTGGGTTTACATTGTGAAGTTAAATTGGGGGTGTATTCACGAGACTCGATGGGTACGGGTATGGATCCAACTTTTGGACTCGAGGGGTCAGGTTTGGGTCCAAAATCTTAACCAAATACATTCAAATCTAGGTTTACATTTTGAAGAGGTGTTAAGTTGGGGGTGTCCAAATACATTCAGGTCTAGGTTTACATTTTGAAGGTGTTAAATTGGGGTGTATTCAAATCTGGGTTTACATTTTGAAGGTGTTAAATTGCGGTGTATTCAAGTCTGGGTTTACATTTTGAAGGTGCTAAATTGGGTTTATATTTTGAAGTTGTTAAATTGGGGGTGTATTCAAGTCTGGGTTTATATTTTGAAGGTGTTAAATTGGAGGTGCATTCAGGTATGGGTTTACATTTTGAATGTGTTAAATTTACACCTCCAAGGTTTACATTTTGAAGGTGTTAAATTGGGGTGTATTCAAGTTTGGGTTTACATTTTAAAGGTGTTAAATTGGGTTTACATTTTGAAGGTGTTAAATTGGGGTGTATTCAAGTCTGGCTTTACATTTTGAAGGTGTTATAAATTGGGGGTGTATTCAAGTTTGGGTCTATATTTTGAAGGTGTTAAATTGGGGGTGTATTCAGGTATGGGTTTACATTTTGAATGTGTTAAATTTACACCCCCGAGGTTTACAGTTTGAAGGTGTTAAATTGGGGGTGTATTCAAGTTTTGGTTTACATTTTGAAGGCATTAAATTGGGGGCGTCAGCAGTAGGGTGTTGATCAGGGAGTTATATTTTGAAGGTGTAAATTGGGGTGTCAGCGGTAGGAATGGTTACCATGTGGTAACTAGGTGTGGGGATGCTACCACCATGACCCCAACCCCTTTCCTATGTGTGGTGAACATAAAACATTTCAATATCAACCTTGAGGCTTATGGATATAAGGAGAAAATAAATTTTAAACTCTAAAAATAGTACATCTTTTAACCGATTTAAGATTTTTAAGTGGTTATAGACTTTAAATTTTAAATTTCATATTTAAGCTTAAATATGGACTTTTGAACTACATCTTCAAGTAAATTTTAGAGGTGTGCATTACTTGCACCTTACACAAACCTCACCCTAATAGTCAAAGAGCAAGGCATGCTTAGCTTGCAGCCTTAAAAAATCAAAGTATGGCATACCTCCAAAATTTATCACACCATGTAATTTGGGTGTCTAAAAATTTTCAAGATGGCCCAATGATCTATTTTCATCTTCAATTATAAATTTTTAAACTTCAAAATGCTATGCTAATCCAGATAATATGTTGTAGGATGTGCTACTTTTAGGACTTCAATTTTTTTTTTTTTTTTTTCATATCTAGGTATCTTAATGATCAAGTAGATGGCTTTCCAATGTCAAATAGCCTTGTCCGATGGATTTTTGGGATGCACCTTAATTCTACAATTTAAGGTATCAAAAGTGGATGTTGTTCACAATTTGGGAAATCCCATTTCCTATCGTTTTCTCAAAGTCAGTCCAACGGTGAGTTGGATGCCCCCAAAGTCAGTCCAACGGTGAGTTGGATGCCCCCATTAACAGGAACCTTTTAGCTAAGAAAATTTGTTTCATGCAGGGTTGGACTACATTTCTACAATATGTAGTCCCAAGGTATATAGCATCCATCTTTAAGATGGATGCAAATAGGTGGTCTATCTAAAAACAATTAAAACTAACGGTCCATATGTTTTCTTCATAAAATCATTATTTTTATTTCTTAAATTTTATTTATTAATTATATTCATGATCTCCATGCTAGAGATTACATGTCCTTAAAAATTGGGTCCGAAAATCAATCTAAAAGATAGACGTTTAAGAGTCGACTCATTTCTACATGGACTCATAGAAACCGTGTCCTTAAGTTAAATTTCGATGGATCTTCCTTCAGGAATCTTGGGAATGTGGAATTGGTGGGGTCTGGGGAGATAGTTGGGGTCTATCGTCTTTTATTTTGTTGGGTTGTGTGTAGTTGTGACAACAAATGATGCCTGAGTAGACAACTCTTCTACAAGGAGTGATGATTTGGAAAGAGAGAGAGAGGTCTTGGAAATGCTTTGGTTATAGAAGTGGATTCTCTTAATATCATTAATTGATGGTCTTACACGAGATTGTAGATACTTATGGATTTTTTAATGATTTCTTATTTTATTTTGAGCTATGTATTTTCTATCTATTATTATCAATAAAAATTAAGGACTCTTGTCAAAAAAAAAAAAGGTGTCAACCTTATATAATACATAAATATTTTCTAGTCTGCATAATCTCCCTTTAATTTTATCAAATTTCAATTAATGTTAAAAATTGTTTTGGCCAAATTTGAGTCAGCACCTTGCAAAAAAAATTTGGAGATCCCCAATCATTTAAAAAAATAGAGCAGGATCAAAACTTCATGTTTCAGCCAGCTCTTTTCACGTATAAAACTGGGTAGAAAGGTGGAGATCTGGCCTAGTCATTTAAACATAAGTTTTTAATATTGGATTGAACATCATAATCTGGCATGATCTTTTAAAAAAACTAAACTAAGAAAGCTCAGTCGGAAGTTTGAGATCCGACTCTTTTCCTCTCTCTTTTTTTTTTTTGCCTTTGTTCTTTCTTTTTGCACTTGTAATTCTTTCTTTTTGCACTTGTAATCACTCATTCTCTCAATGAAAGCTTACTGTTAACATTCAAAAAATAAAAAAATAAAAAGTTTGAGATCTGACTCAATCACCAAGAAAAAACTAGTACTGAAAACCAGATCAAAACTTCATGTCTTGCCTATATTTTTTTACCAAAGGTTTGTCGGAGCTTGCTATCATCCAAAAAACTAGGCAAAAACAAGAAACAAAAAGCAAGGTTAGAACTTGGATTTTGAGGCATTTTTTAGGAAATAAAAAATAAAATAAAGAAAAAAAGACATGAACGTAAAATTTAAAATCGAAAAGACACTTTTAAGTACTATAAAAAGAAATATTTATGAAATTTCCCGTACCCGGCATCACTCTTGTGTCTTGCTCTTTTCTTTTTTTCTTTTCTTTGGCTCTATTAGTCGTGGCCTGGACATCATCAGAACTGGACAACCTCTTAGTCTCTATTTGGGCCTAACTCAAAAAAGGCTTCTAGGCAGGAGTGCATTGTGAGGGTTGGCCTTGCCCCAAAATGGCATGTTGCATGATTTATTGCTCTTTTCCATTTTTAGTTTTCTCATCAATACATGCAGTGATGGCATTCCATTTGGCCATATCCAAAAAGGAAATAAACATAAGCAAAAAAAACCAGGCAAGGTCAGCCCTCCCTTATCAGGTCCGAGGCTGAGCTGCTCAAGCCACATTTTGCAGCACAAGTCCTAGTTTTGCAAGGCCAGGCCACACAACCCATCACCAACCCTCCAGCAACACCAAGTTCTTCGTCGGTAACAGTTTAGATAGAGAAGTGAGTGAATAAAGAGTAAGGGAACATACCGAGAGAGAGGTAAGTGCTTGCATAGTAGAGAAAGAGAGAGAGAGATAGATATGAAGGAATGTGCAATACAAACAGAAGAGAGCACGCTGAGAGAGAGGTGAATGCCTTTGTTATACTCTGAGAGAGAGGGTGAGATATGAAGGGAAGGGCATGGCTGTCAGAGGAAATGATGGTGTGTCCAGTTTAATTTTGGAGACAAGAGCATAGATATTTGCTCCCTTGAGAGCAAAGTTCACTTCTCTCTCAAAAGACTTAATTGAGTGGATTTTTTCAATCTGAAAATTAGGGAACCACTTAAGAATTAATAGATGATTATTCTCAAATAGAAAAATTGGAATCTTAATTTTCTAACACTTAGGTCTCATCATCTAGTGGCATAGAACGCAAATAGGGTGCAATTATGAAGTATTCTTCATCTAGTCTCATCATCAAGACATTATTCTTTTTAAGTGCATATAGGGTGCAATTATGAAGTATTCTTTTATTGAGGATAATCTATGGGTTCAAAACGATACATCCTCAAATTACGGGGTGGTACTAAAATTTAATTCTAGGTACATTTTACCGTGAGGAAGTAAATGGACATTTTAGCCCCTCCAGAGTAGAATATCTTTTGGCCTTGAGAGAAATATTGAGAGTGGTGAAGCACAAAATAAAGCAGGCAATCTAGGAAGATAAAATGGGGGAGAGAGAGGGGGAAGGGAGTGGCATAGAATGCAAATATAGGTATCCAAAAATGCGAAGATAGTAAGGGGTTATTAGATTTCAATTATGGAATCTTAACATGACGTCTTTGTTTGCTGAATTTTCTAGCCCGAAAAATATTGAAGAGTTTATGAAGAGCTAGTCCCAACGCCCCTTCTTCTGATCCAATGTAAAAAGGATGCAATTTCTTTAACGCTTAGGCCACATGAAGAAAAAAAAGTAAGGCCTCACTTTGAAACCTTGTCTGGAAAAACACATGAGAAATT